TTAGACTAAATTACAAAGAGATGTGTGGGCAAGGAAAACCCGTGTGCCTTTTCTGTTAATAGGCAGACTAGGTTCATTGGGTAAATCTGTAATCTTTTATTAGACCAACTCAAATAATTGGAAAAAAATTCTTCTTTGCAAGTTTTTGGGCACAAACTCCCCTCGTCAGGCTGAGGAAGCATCTGCAGTTGGCATGTGCTCTTCCTGGATGGAAAATGGCTTTTATGGGCTTTTAATGGCTTTTGATTTTGAAAGGCACTTACTAAGTACATCCCTATTCAGTAAAGACCTGTTTAATTTTAAGCAGACTTAACTGCTCTTCTGAAGCCAGGGCTGAGTGGCAGATTACATTTTCAAGTTATTGGGTGATGCCCAAGAAGTGCTAGGGGCTGTACAGGCCCAGCAGAAGACCTCTGGCAATTTCTGTTCCCGTCCCCTATTGCAGTGCAGGCTAACCTTTTTGGTAGGCGCGTACACATTAGTCCTGCACCCTCCCACAGTCCCACTCTCATCCCCTTGCCTTGCCTGCCCTGCTTTCTGCTCCCTTCCCTGTGTTCTCTGTGCAATCTACTGCTCTGCTTCCTGCTCCCTTCCCTGTGCTCCCACACCAAGCTGCTGTTCTGCTTTCTGCTCCTTGTCCTGTACTCCCTCGCTGACCTGTTGTTGGCCCTTCTGCCCATGCTCCCTCAACAAGCTACTGTTCTGCTTCCTGCTCCCTGCTCTGTGCTCCCTCGCTGAGCTGCTTTCTGCCCCCTGCCCTCTACCCTCTCTGCCACTGTGCTGCCCATCCCCTCCCAGACACTGCCCATGTCACCTGTAGCTCCCAGGCTGCAGGCTGGCCCCATTTCTGCCTTATTCCACTTCCTTGTCTGCACTGATTCCTACCTCCCAGGCATTACTGAACAGCCTCAAGAAACCAACAAGAGCTGCAGCCTAGAGAGATGTGGGCAGGTGGGCAAGGCATGACTGCCCTCCTGGGGCATCCCCTGCGCTGCAGGGGAGAGCTCTGCAGGGCTGGGCTCAGCCTGGCAGTGCCCTGGGGCATGAGCAGGGGGAGTGCAAGCATGGGCTGAGCTACCACGGTCTCTGTCCCTATATATGAGGTATAGTGGTGAAGGGGAGTATCATAAATAATAGTAATAATAATAATTAATGATAATAGAACTAAGTAGTGATTGATTATAATAATGAATTACAATAATGGATGGTAGCAATAGGGATAATAATGATCATGTTTGTCGAAAATAGATAATAACATTGGAAATAAGTCGAAATTGATTATAATAATGAATTTCAATAATGGATGGTACCAATAAGGATAGTAACAGTGATCATGATTATGATAATAGATCATTGATAATAATACTGGAAATAAGTTGGAATTTAGTATAATAATTACAATATTTGATGGTAGCAATAAGGATAGTAATAGTGATTAAGATTATGATAATAGATAATTGATGATAATAATAATATTGGAAATAAGTCGTAATTTAGTCTAATAATTACAATATTTGATGGTAGCAATATGGAAAGTAAGTTTCATAGTTTCTAGGGTCGGAAGGGACCTGAGCAGATCATCTAGTCTGACCCCCTGCCATGGCAGGAAGAGCACTGGGGTCAAATGACCCCAGTAAGGTGGTCATCCAACCTCCTCTTAAAAACCCCCAGGGTGGGAGCCTGCACCACCTCACTTGGAAGCTGGTTCCAGACTCTAGCCGCCCTGACCGTGAAGTAGCGCCTCCTGATGTCCAACTTAAACCTTCCCTCCGCCAGCTTGTGACCATTGTTCCTGGTCACTCCTTGCGGCGCTCGGGGGAACAGGG